AAATAAAAAATCTGCTCCCTTCTCCCCCTTTTCAAATTTTTTGTTAATTAAATAGATAAATTTTTACTTTTCTTCTTCTCCTCTCAAACAAAACATACTATTATTTGAGTAAATTTATTACGGTAATGGCAATTAAGTCCCCTTCTTACCTCCACAATACTAACAAGGCAATTATTTAAAGTATTTTTAATAAATTATAGATAAATTTTAAACATACTTTAAAATCACAGTTTTGTTCAAATATAATAATCAAATATAAGAGAGTGGTACAACATATATGAATAATTTTGTCTAAATTGATGACTACAAATTTAATAAGGACCTAATCATTCCAAAGAAACCACCGAGCCAATCATAATAAGTGACTAATATCTACTAAAAAACTATATTTGGCTACACTCTTATTACTAGCTAATAGTGAAAAAGCAACACTTCTACCCTCTAGGCTGTATAAAAATAAATTGTGCTTAAATTAAATATTAAACAGCACTCATGCAATTTACCCTACCCTTGAAAAAACCATGTGTACTTCAAAAAAAAAAAAAAGAAGAAGACCAGGTGTTCATTATTAGCACACTAATCTAGTTGAGAGGAAATTAGTTGAGATCATGAGAGTTTTAGGTTTGAATCAGCCATTCCTAAAGGCATCAAACAAAAAGAAAACGAGAAACTGATTATTTTAATTGTGTTCTCCCTCTTTCCCACATGAAAATCACCACTGATTAGATTTGAAACAGAAAAACACACAGTTAGAGAATGAAAAACAATTTTCCAAGCGAAGACCGTCAACTATATAATGTTCTCAACGCCTCCAGTGACATTAGAAGACCTTGTAGCATGTAAATTCAATCTGCCTTGATTCAATTCCTGTTCCTCAGCAGGGAAGTGATCCTTGGATGCTGCTTTTATCATGCCTCAAATTCTGTTGCCACTGATTACATAAAAACAAGGGTAAATATAATGTCACAAAAGGAGTAGTGTGGTCAAATTTTCATTAGAGAAGAAGTTGACCTTTGGAGTATGATGGAACCACAACTACACGCATTGTTACATTGTTAGGAGGAAGATGCAACCGAAGAGGGTAAAGCTTTCCATTCAAAGGATTGCGAGAACAGACGAAGATTTCATTCAACCCTGTTTCTTCCTTCAGCATTTCCTTCAATTCTTCAACCCCACTGCCCTTGAATGTGGAAGAACGTTGTCCCATTGCCTCGTCAACCTCCCCATCTTCATCTACCACTTCATAATGAATCAATCGTCCTTCAATCTTTGCCGGAGAAGAAACATCAAATGAATCATCAGACTGCAAACATGAACTGGGTAAATTAATCAAGAGAATTAATCTTATCTCAGATTATTGTATTTCAATTGATAATTTAAGAGCCGATTAATATGATAATGGTTTTTATAAATTTTACAACTTAAAAAAAATAATAATAATCATTTCCTATAACCTATGATTTTCCAACATGAAAACCCCATTTTATCTGACCTCTAATCTAGTCATTTTAGGAGACCTAAGTGAAATTGCCGTCGGAGAAGGGGGCTCAGATTCGACACGATCAACCAATTCCGGTGGTGGTGGTGGTGGTGGTTGCACTTTTGGGGAAGCCTGCTGCTTGGGTCTCCGAAATTGGATAACGTCCACATCCCAAAGAATCCAATCTTGGGTGGCAGTTCTATGAGGGATATCATGGGTAATCGAATTCCTCCACGGCGGCAGCCCCCCATTTCCTCGCAAATACTGGCCGTACCGCGTCTTGAGCCTAACCTGAACGCCTTCTCTGATGGGTTCCCATTCGACGGAAGAATCCAACCGTCTCGGCACCGTTTGCAATACCTTCTTCCCCGTCATTCCAAGAAGGAACGGCATGTTCGAGGCGGTCAGGTATTTCCCATAAAAGCTCTTGAGCCGTATAACGTCGGCGTTTTCTACTAACTCCACCGTCCACTGCGCGTTCTTCAGGGTACCGTCGCGGTCTTGGGACACTGATTCTTCATCGTCATCAGCGAGAAGGTATTTGTCATGGTGACTGCGTAGTCGAACCTTCTCTGCCTTCTGGAAGATCTCCATGGCAGTATAGCAGCGTCGAATTTCGAATTACTGTCCCTCTGCAAATTACATGAAAAACAGATTAAGAAAATGAAGAATGTAATTAGAAAAACCAAAAAAAATAAAATAAAAAGTAATTTTTTTGAGCTGGGATTCTTCGAATAATTCATACCCGATTTTTTCAGGGAGAAAAGATTAAACAAATTCAGATTTTGTCAAAAAAAAAAAAAAAGGGATTGATTAAGAGAGAGATGATGAGAAACTTGTCAAATGAGTTTTTATAGGTTTAGGGTGAAAAGAGATTATGATAAACTATGCGACACGTCACACGTGTATAATTAATTACACGTCAATATTCTGTGTGTTCCGTTAATTTACTAAATTAATGTGTGGTTCTTGAATTATTTGTGTTTTTTAAATGGTTGTATTTTATATCCGTTCAAAAAAAAAAAAGAAGTTGTATTTTATATGCTGTAAGTCCATAATAAAGCTGGGTCATGCTGCTTAATCCGTGCATGATTTTTGTTGTTTGTTTGTAAGATTAGGTTGCCTCTATCCCATGAATGAAATGCTTATAATACCGTGGAACTATGATTTATAATATGATAGGTTATTAAATAAGTAAATAGATATAATATTATAAAAATAATATAATAATAAAATTAAATCTTTTTTTGGTCTTTTTACTATTGAAAAAAGTTTTTTTTTTGGTTTCTATACCAAAAAAATCTCATTTTTAATCGTTAAATTTTAACATATGACTCCTTGTTGCTCTTTTCATCAGTTAAGTGATATAGTGGCACTATAATTTATTAAATATTTTATCTTTTTTCTTTTCATCGTTGATGTGTTATTACACGTTAATCAATAAAATACCATGTGGAAAAAAATTGATGATATGGACAAAAAAGTTTTCCATATAATTAATAGGTTGTAATATATATTTTTTAAAAATCATCATTTTCTTTGTGTCTTTTCATTTCCCATTTTTATCATTATCTTCTCCCTAAACATAATTAACTTTAATTTCTTTCATCTTCTTCTTTCTCCTCACCTTATCCTCCTCCTCATCCTCGGCATCATCTTCACCCTTCTTTGCCATCGTCTTCATCATCCTAGCTTCTTTGGGGAACCCATAAACTGAGTTCCTCTAGGTTTCGCGTGGAACCTAGAACCTAGGTTTCTCATGGAACCTAGATCTAGGTTCCTACCCTTTTTTTTTTTTTTTTGAATGTATCTATCTAATGAAACCAAAGTTTCATATTCAATTTTGAATTAAAGACACAAAGCTTTGGGTTTGACTGTGAAAAGAATGATCTATTTTGCAGAGAAGAAGTTAGAGTTTACTGAATTGATAAATCACTTAGTAATTAATTTTTATTTTTATCAATGAAAATATTCTTATAATTTCTCAATTATATCTTAATGAATCTCAGATGTTAAAGGTTGATTATGAAAAAAAACAAGAATTTCGAAAGAAGGAAGTTGATATTGGGAGAGGGAACTGAAAAAAAATGAAATTAAAATTATTAAATTTAATCAAAGGAAATAAAAAAATTAAATACTATATATTAAATGAATCCAATAAAATTAAAATTATTATAATAATTTAATATTTC